TACGGGTTAATATGTGAAACATTTATTCCTGTTCACCTACGTGCGTAAGTCCCACGCTTTGCCATAGCTTGGATACAGGAATTACGCGATTAGTCGAGGAGACGTTGTGTAGATCCGAGTCGTGGCAGATGAGTTGCTGTTTGGCCGCCAAATGTAATTAAGGATCTCTTTAAAAGTTTCTAATGACGTCAAGAGGCACTTATATCTGCAAACACTGTAAGGTTAACCGACTTTCATTTGAGAGAGTTGTTTTGCAATTCTTGTTGAACTAGAATAAGGCTCTTCTGTTCGTGCTCTCATTTTCCAACCCCGATATTTGTTTTGGGAGAATTAGGAGACCAATCGTAAGACAAGTCGGTTATACATTATTCTCCTAGCTGACAAGTTTTTTTTTTAATTTCGTGCTAAGAGTTAATATGTACATTTTACTTTCTCTCTTTTTTGTACTAAAAAGTATAACAAATGTTGAATTATCGCTTCCTTCTTCGCAGTAAACATCCCACTTTGCCTCTGACGATCCAATTTACAGTCATTTACCTTTCAGAGTATCTCTATCTGCACCGTTGCTATGGCAACTGTACTGAGCCTCGCTATCCAATAAAGATACAACACCGAACACTCAATTTTGTTTTTACTCACTTCAATTTCTGGTTAAAATATCACGAGTTGAACGCCGTACTGTGCCTCAAAGAAAAATCACTCCAAAGAGTATTGAAAGAAAAGGGAGAAAAACACGAAAATGTGTTTTCTTTGAGGAGCCGATCGGAACCAGGGTTAAACCAAAATTATGGCCCCAGGGAACGAGGCTGCACCGTCCCCTGGAGGATAGAAAGAGCGTGACCTAGCCGTGTTTGAATGGGATCCCCCGCGGGGTCGCACGCCAGCAATTTCTCGGTGGACGTGCTCTCCGGTAGTCGTACCATAATTACGCTCCCAAAGTGATGAGAAGCAGCGCTTTTGCAGAGATTTGGTCCCGTTAATATTGACGAGGAGAGAGCTCCCTTTTAAATTACAGGTATTATGAACGACGTCATTCAGTGACGAGTGGGGTAAGCAGCGCCCCCAAGTGGGGATTGAAAGTTCAATGATTTACTCTTGGGATATGTTGTATCCCTTTGAGAAAAACAAACGAACTCACCAAATATAACGGCAAACTCAAACCGGGACTCCAGCGATAAACTTTGATATTTACTGATAGATGATTCAACAGGCCAGTATATGCATAGCCCTATTGCGATGTTTTCGAAGTTTTTTTTTTTAATTTAGATAATGTAAACGAAATCAAGAATATATATTCATGTAATTTTCAAACGGATTTTGGAAATTCCCAAAAGATTATATAAAAGTCTGAAAAATGGAGATATTTATATGAAAAGGATTAACTTCACTTAGCTGTGATTTGATTACAAAACCAATTAAATACCTCCGCTGCATACCATTAAAAAGATTGTAAATGCAAAGAATTCAGAACATGATTATTTTAGTCAGCAAACATCTACTTTATTTGCTTCTTTCACATCGTTATTTTAAAAAAAAAATATTTCAACGCGTGAAAAACTTGTATTACAAATACTTTGCTTTCAATTTCATTAAAAAAAAAATCACGATTGGATGGTCAATGCTGGGTCATTCTTATTCAGAGCAAGACTTTGCTCCATTCAGTAATACACTCTGAAAAACATTTCTGGGTAAGATTGGCCCAGAATCTGGGTTTAATTTGGCTCAAAAATGTACTTGTCCGGTTAAAAATTCTGGTCAAAATGAAACTCTTCATGTCAAAATGACACCTTTCTGGGTCGAAACACCTTTGCTTGGTCAAACTGACACTTTGCGGTCTCACAATGACCTTTTCTGTGTCATCTTTTCTGGGTCAATATGACACTTTTCCCGGTCAAAATGACCCCAAAAAGTGTCAATTCGACCTGGATAAATGGCATTTTGACCCTTTAAACGGTTGAGCCAAACGGACCCCGGACTCAGGTTCAATCGTGACCCTGATGCTTTTAGAGTGATTTTCCTCAAAACGTATATCTAAATAGTGTAGGCCCTATGGGCAAACAGGTGTACACCCCTCTGGCTTGATTGGCCGAAACACATACACGGACCTCGCCGTCCTCCTCCGTGACGTCATTTTAAGAATTGTTTGTCTGTAATTTCCCTGTATTAATTATGTGCTTTTTAACATTTTTTTTAAATTAATAGTTCTGCGTTTTAAAAATAAAACTGGTAAAGTATTTCATTGTACATTGTACCTCATAATTTATCCAGCTTGTGCTTACAAGAAGCCGTACAGTCTTAAACAAATTCAGTCCAACCGTGATTGCAAGTGCTAAAAATAACCGAATGGACGTCTTTAAGGAATGCTTTCTGGATAACCAAACAAGAAATCGGCTTATCTCTTATTCACGGGGTAGTGTCGGCATGGCAACGGACCATTAGCATCAATTTATTCCGCTGCTAAGCATCTTTATGACATGTGATTTCTTTCTTTTTTTAATAATGGGGCCCTGTTGGCTGCCATTTTACTGGGTGCGTCATATGGATCGAATATCTAAGGGATGGCAGAGGGTTTGTGTCTGGTGAATCCAGGCGAGCGGCGCGGTGTTTTTATTGCTCTGGTTGGCATGCTTCGTTCGATTTACCCACATCTTCGCATGATTGCTTGTCAGATCTTTCAAGCGTTCCTTCTGGCAGAATAGGGCTGGGGTGATACTCAGGGCTGACGGAAATGGGCCATCATTTTCTTTTAATAAACAAATCCTTTTTAGAGGCAGAGCATATTGTAGCACAATCTGACGGAGTGTGAGTGAGCTGGACCACTAAACGTGATTTCTACAATGGAAATAGTGTTTACCCAGACGCCCCCGGCGGATACATTGTGTAAGGTACTGCGCAAAACAACAGCTGGCGCAGTGCTCCGCCATAACTGGGGTGCCCCTGGGTGTCTCTGTATCCTGATTCGTCAGTAGTACGGGGTAACGTGCCATAGCCCTAAGTTCCTAGAGAAGTGTTTTCAAGATTGTGAAATGCCTCTTTAAAGACTGAACAGTCCAAACAAAATGATTCCTTCCCGATCGAGTGTAGACTTCACATTTCGTTTCCAGAATTCTCTGAGCTCATTCTGATGCACCGCTCCCTTCTCCATAATGGACAAATATTTTAGTCTCCCTGGATCATTGGAGTCTGTTTGACATTGAGTCTGATGTGTTGGTCGAACGTGACACGGGCTCACGTGCTGCTTGCTGCCGGGCCCTGGGCTGATGGGCCTCCACAACACGTTTGGTTTGCTTACTACTAAGCGATGACGGTGAAAAAAAATATACACCACTATTTCATGAGAACATATTCTAGTAAAGGTTCAATTGTAAATGTTTAAATTTACATTGAACATTTCGATTATTTTAGCAGAAGAGAAAACGCTGTCTTCGTAAGAGATGACATTTAACGACTTTTACAAAATGCAATATACATTGACCGACGGCCTGAAGTTAAAAAAAATTCGCATAGACAACATCGTTTCTTTTATGTTATTCCCTATAACATTTTATGCTATTAGGGAAACTATCAAAGGACATTTATATCAATTTGGGCTTGTTTGTTTAAAGATAGAAATATCGATTACAGAAATTTAAGTTAGGGTTTGTTATTTGAAATGACCGTGGAGGACACTCTTAATTTCACGCGAGATTCGTGACATAGCCACCTCTCACATTTCATGAATCGAACCCAAGTTCCGCTCGAGAATTTCCGGCATTTTGCACGTAAGCAACAACTTTTAACTGGCAAGAAGTTGAAAAAATATTAAGAAGACGTAAAGTAAATTAACCATTGTCGTATAGCTCTCCCATTAAACATTCAAAAGTGCATGCCAGAAAAAAAATCTTTGAAAACTTGCTCAATTTCATTTAAAAAAAAAAATTGGAATTGAGAATGGAGTCGCGATAATTGGCCAGCCACTGTATCAACTCTTGAAAGGTTCTCGTCCACAAGTTACTGATTTCTCGTACTTTTTTTGTCCTGCGGGTAACTATTTCATCATTCAGTTGTAATCCACACTGCCTCCTAATGGACAAGCAGGTGATGCCAAACAGTATGGGGGCGTATTTTCTATAAAACGGCCCTTAAGAACTGACGACGACGTGCAGGAAATTTATCAAACATGGTTGAGTTTCTATCGCGTAGTTTTGGAGTGCACATTAAGTTACACATTGCTTTCGTGTTGCTATTTTGTTGATTGCCCAAAAGAAGATTCTTTCGATTCGAATATCCTGGCGTCGTTCATGTCAAATTGTATTATACATCGGCACTATAAATACCCACAAAAACATACCGAAACAAAACATGTTTGTTCGTCCCACAAAAGTAATGGATATGTTTTGCGTTTAGCGCATTTCGTTACAGACAGGGCAAAGTTAGCAATTTAAAAGAAAAAATGTTTTATCGGCTTTTGTTTGCGTCCACAAATGAGCGAGCTAGGTATTGTACTTACGTCTTAACTCTGTGGTGTGCGACAGTACTGACCTTGTCATCAGTACGTTTCTTAATGTTTTTTAATTACTACATCATTTTTCCGTCAAAACATTTCATACTCCAGTAATTCCCTATTAAGACATGCATAACTAACTTTAAAGCATCGTGAGAACCCCTTTAACCCTGGTTGAACTTTTCACCCAGAATTTTGGAGGCAAAAATCAGACCCAGGCCAACTTCCATATGAATTGTATTGTCCAGCGCTAACCACAATGCTTGTGAAGTGTAGCCGCTGTTATCACAGGGCCATCAATCATCCCAGGCCCATTCTTGAAGCCTAGAAACAGGTTGTCCTCATACAGAGAATACAGAGAATACCCCTCGAAACGTTGAGATACCCCACACATCAACTCATAAATGAGATAAAGTGTCACTTGGTGTCAATGCAGACTTAGATTATGGCCGATTTCATCTTTTCGTTTCCTTTGAGTCTATCAATAATTCTTTCTTTGCCGTTTTTTAACAGTACCCCTGGCCGGTGTAATATTGGGCTCACTGTGCGGGGCTGCTGTGCTGGCAGGTGTCATGTTCCTGCTGTACCGTGTCTACAGAAGAAAATGCGGGGGACGGTCCAAGTACGAGCGCCTCAGCGGCTACGGCAAGAAGACAGCACCGGCCGTGCATATCGACGGCAAGAGTCTGGCCACGCCCACAGTCAGGTGAGATTTTGTTTTGTATAGAATATTATTATGAAACCGTACAGTCGTCTGTGAAATTATTCAATGCACGGTCGTGTCAAGAGGCTCTTATACTGTGACTCGGCCATTGACCTCGGCTTGGGGAGGCAGCGTGTGGGAGGCAATCACCTTGGAGATTTCGAGGTCTTCCATGATTACGCACGCTTGAAAGACTTCATTAACCTGTTCTAGTCTTTGCTAAGGGCTATAACAAAGAACTCTGGTTAAACCAAGTTCCTGAGATTCACATTTTTGAGGACAGAATAAATGGAATCTCCGGCTTGAAATTTAAATTTTAATTGTTTCAGCCCCCAGTCTTACCCTTTCATATTTACCTGAAATTTGACGGCAGAATATCAAACCAAAATGTTCATGCTGATGATATAATAAACGAGAGTTGTCGCAACTATATGATAGAAATGTAAAATGTCATTTATGTCTAAGCATTATTTTTTGTAAGCCCGTTTTGGGTCAAATTTCGCTTTTCCAATTATTTACTTGATGAAAATAATGTGAATTGCCTATGTGTTGCTTTCCAAATGAACATTTTGTACCTTGTTTCTCAGAATGGCGTGTAAGCCTATACGGAATTGTTAACCATAATAAAGAAGCGGAGCTTTTCATCTTTTTACTTGTTTCATAAATTCTGGTACGCACAGAATATATAACCATTGAATAGCGTTAATGAATAAGGGAATTTATCGCTACACGTTCTTGGTGATAGGCTTAAACGGCGACCTCTTTTGTCCACGCAGGGATTCCGTAATATTGATTGATTAGGATTGTAAGAGTGTTGGAAAAGCTTGTTGGAACAAAGCTTGTCCAGCTGACAAGACTTCTGACTAACAAATTGCAGGTGCAATGGAATAACCTTGCGATATCTTGTCCTGTCGCAATTTACTAGTAGGGCGCCCTCCCTCGGTACAACTGGCCCTCTTGAGGGGCACGACTCGACACTCGTATCGTTGCATTACGGTCAACAACCATTGAATTTAATCTCGTCCCCCTTTAGTGCCTTTGACCACATGGGGTAGAATCAGTCGATCGTCTGGCGTCGGACTTTTTTTCACGTTAGTAATGAATCCGGCGCGTGCGAGGCATCGATCAAAGTTGATGGCTGTGACGTCACAACATTGCCAATGAGAGGGCGCTGTGATTATCTGTGGAGCGATTTCTGGCCATTCTTTCAACTCGGGTTCGTCTTCGGCTTCACCTCGTGGCTTCGACTTTAGGTCATTGACATTAGAGACTATAGGTCTATTTTCTATAGGAATTGTAACCGCAACATCACATTCTTCCACACGGAGACAATGCTTTGAATTGAGTCTTTCCTTTATTTTGAACATTTACACACAAATAGTTCCCGTATGTGACAGAGAAAACCTAAAACATGAGACGTAGCTGAGGTTTAAAAATGGCCTATGGCTGTGAACTCGGCTTTGAAAAGTCAGGACTCATGGGAATCCGAATCCTAAGGAAAGCAGCTTGGGAGCATTCTAGCGCAAGCGATACCGTCATTTAGTCCGGCGTGAAAGGAAGGACGCGTCTTTAATCTCCACGTGGGAATAAGGCTTGGCCTTTCCCCATGCTGTGTAATTGGCCAGAGACACTGAGAAAACTCCCCCAGGGAGAACCTCATCAATAAGAGCGTATTTACCCAATGCAGTTCAATGAATCTACGCTATTAACAATCAATTATATCCTTGACATTTCTATAAATTGCCACTATTTTCAGCATCTGCGTCACTGAACAGTGCATCGAGCTGATTAGTTTAGTCCAAGTTATAATTACCGCGAATTGTACCTACCCTGACCCCCATTTTCCCTTATCCTACCCCCACGAAACTTGGTATACATTATGTTTTGGACCACGAACAAACAATTCTATAGCCTATTTTTGAAGGGTAAAATGTTGCCTCTATGTAGGAGTTGTGACATTAGGAAGACATTCAAATGACTGCTAAATCTACCCGGTCTCCCTAAGGTATAACTTAAGACGAAAAACTAATGTCATTTACAGGAATTAAGCAAACACTTAACATATTGAAATACAGTTGAATCCATACGGGCACAGCTGGATGTCGCCATATGTTTTTGTATTTTAATTGTCTAACTGCGATCATTTACTTCGGCAGTCTTTTCTGTTATCCCATTTTTAATGAAAAAAAGTACCATTACAATGGATTGCATGCATTGCTCTTTAAAGATGAATGGTGAAGAAATAGTGTATTGTAATTGTATTAGAATACTGTGATTATTTGAAACAGGCTCTGGGTATCAGAATGCCTTTTCATTCCTCCGATTTGATTTCCCTTGCAGCCTGAAAGCCGTTCCTTTCACACTGCCCCCGGCCCCCAACACGAGGGACCGGATAGCGGCCTTCAATTACCCATTGGCGATCAACTCTCCTTGCCGTGACAGCTTGGATCAGCCTGACGCACGGGCCACCGAGCGCCGACCGTCCGTCTCAGCCGATCGTAGGCCGTCCTTCAGCGACCGCCTTCCGCCCAGCCTGCCTCTAGGGGACCGTGAACGTAGACCCTCGGTGGTCGAAGACACCAACGGCCGACGGGACAGCGTCAGCGGTCTGAGCGTGTGTAGCGATTCTACCGAGGGTGGAGGCTCCCCAACCTACGGGAACTCACGCACGGGTTCCCGACGATCTTCCGTGGCCGATGTGATGAGTCCTGCAGGTAAGAATCGATACTGTTGAAAAGTGAAATGGAACCAAATAGTATCAATTACAGAATGTCCCCGTGCATTAAAACCTTTGACAATTGTTGTTGTGACGCTGTATACTGATGTTCACAAGATGATGAGTAGAAAGTACAACCCGTTCGGGGCCTGCGTCCCGGCCCCACGCAGAGCCTGTCTTCACTCGGAACTAGGCGCGAAAAAACTTGATATGATTTGAAACTGTATCTCAAACCATACAGTACCCCTCAAGAAACTTAATACTCCAGGAAGTGCCCCTTCACATAGGACTCCAATACCGCCAATGTATCGACAGAAACAGACTGTAGCTTGACATTCTGGAAAACAACTTCTGGAAAATAAACCAGAAACTTCAGATCATTCGCTCTGTTCACACTTCCGCCATGGGCATGCAGAGCCTCGATCTGGCAACTTTACACCATAAATATAGCCGGTTCAGTGATTCCCGTGTCGGGGTTCAGATCACTGAAACCGGTTATTTTTATTGTGTATAAGGTTGCCAGATCGAGGCTGTGTATATGCCCAATGGCGGAGCGTGAAAAGAGCGAATAATGGCGTCCAAGGTGTAATTGGTCTTATTCTGGACAAATGAGGGCGCTGTACACAGCAACGTCATTTGGGGGTATTTATAGACGTGGTTACAAGGCCATTGATGCATTAACATATTACTTCAGCTGAAAAGTAACAGTTTTACAGTCTTTATTTCTTAGATTTAAGTGAAGTTACTTCACTGCTTCAATAAGTAAAATGTTTCTAGTATTTGTGGCCAGAAAATAGCGTCGATGCAGCGCCCTCTTTCGCTCAGAAATATGCTTAATTGGCGCCACCAAGATGTTAATTTAGAAGAGTCAAAATACACTTGTCTGATAGCCGCTATGGTTATTGATATGTTTTTCTGTCTTTTGATTACATTTTTTTATGATTTGCGCCCCATATACGTACGCCTATCTTCCTTTATTGAATGTTTTATTGAAGTGGATGTTTAGAGATAACCAAACCATCCTTGAAATGAAGCGGCGTGTCTGTTAATCCAATCAAAACACATGAGACATGTTTTGTTTTTGTGTAATTTATTTATGAAGAAGTATCTGTTTCCTCGTTTCGAGCGAAAGCAATTTGGCTTAAGTGATTTGTGACGTCAACAGTTTCGTGGCTTCGAGTAAACAAGACCCTACATGAGATAGGATTGACAGTTGATTTATTATCTTAATAACATCTACATCGTTAGCCGTTTTAGATATTTCTCCTCTCAAAGAGTTTTTACCACAAAAGTCCTTTCCGTGCGTTTTCCCCATCATTACAGATGAAAAATATATACGCATTTGATAGAAATATCGTCATTTAATGGAACCTCCGTGTGTCAACAAGCATCTTGCCTTTCAGAAACTTCGGTTCGTATAAAATCCGCTTATCCAATTTATCCTGACAGTTAATCAAATCGCAGCCTGAAATATACTTAAACTCAAAGTTGGTTATCGAAACAAACGACCCTGCCCTGCAACAAAAAGCTTGTTTTCAATTTTAGTATAAGTGATGAAAACCCCCAAACAATTATATTATCAACCCAGTCTGGACTGAAATCTACCGTCCCACCAACAACACGATGGGTGTCGTCTGCGCAGATTTCTTACCGGAGGAGGCTAGATTATACGGCGGCAAATCACTCAGGGTCGCCTCGTACAATTATTCGCCATAATTCCATTAAGACAAAAGCCCGACTCTGTTCCCCTTTACTACTGAAACCGTATCTGGTGCGAACGCCGGATTCGATTGGGATCGATCCTCCCAAGTCTGCTGCCAAGGTCGAGACCTAAATCTGCAGGTGCTGATCACGTGATATCCGGCCGTCTTTTTTTTTTCTTTTTTTCTTTTTTGGCCAGGCGAGTGCTAGCTTAAGGTCGGGTTTACTTGCCTGGCACAGTTTTTTTGCCGTCAACATGTGAACGCCTGTACACCATTCGTATACTTTTGATAGCACAGGGAGTATGTGCCCTTATTTTTTTTGCGCACGTTAATGTTCGCATGGCCTCACCAATCACCATATCAAGTTTCATATCGCAGCCAAGGAAAGTACAGGTTTTGTCGATTTGTGATGTCGCTACAGAGTTTACACCCGCTGTCAATGCCGCATTGTGTGCCTAGCATGTCTAGGTCTGGATAATTTTACACGCGGCGTGCTAATAATTGTCGCGGAAGCTACATTGTATATATCCCCCTTTTCTCCATACTCCAACTCTCTGTCAACAAATGTAGCCAAAAAGTGCTTAGTGTCGTCCATTTAAACATATAGTTCAGTCGGAAAAGGGGGGTATCGTGCACCCTCGGAAATCAATTTCTAATCAACGTTTCTAGGTTAGAAAAAATGCGTAGAAAACGATTTGCTATGTTAAAAAATTCAAAAAATGTCCCACGTATTGTTTTTATGCAAATTAGTGCCGCCATTACCGAAAAATCTATTTGTAACTATATCTCAGCCAATATTGCAGATAACTGAACGAACTAGGTGTCTAAACCCATGTTTTCAAGGTCGGAGATCACAATAAAACTATTCTGGAAGTGACCACATGTGTCTGTGGCATAGGAATATGCAAATTAGTGCCGCAAATACCGGAAAGTCATGTTTTTGGCATATTTCGCCAATATAGCACATAACTACACCAGTAAGGTGTCTAAACCCATGTTTTGAGGGTCAAGTATCATTAGAAGACCATTCACGAAGTACCTATGTGTGTCTTTGGCATGAAAATATGTAAATAATAAAGTGTCGGTTTATCCGCTATTTGATTTTTAGCCAATATCTCGGCCAATATTGCACTTAACTACACAAGTAAGGTGTCTAAACCCATGTTTTGATGGTCAGGTATCATTAGAAACCATTCACGAAGTAACTATGTGTGTCTCTGGCAGGTAAATATGTAAATTCTAAAGTGTCGATTTATCAGAAATTTGATTTTTAGCCAATATCTCGGCCAATATTGCAGCTAATGTTGACAGAAGGGTTTTTGATAAGCAATAATGATCAAAGTTTATTTTAAGCCATCATATTCAAAATCAACTGTAATATTGGCTGAAATTGAATATAATTTGGCGGAAAATCATTTTTTTGATAAACCGGCAATTTAGAATTTACATATTTTCATACCAAAGACACACATAGTTACTTCGTGAATGGTCTTCTAATGATACCTGACCCTCAAAACATGGGTTTAGACACCTTACTTGTGTAGTTAAGTGCAATATTGGCCGAGATATTGGCTAAAAATCAAAGAGCGGATAAACCGACACTTTATTATTTACATATTTTCATGCCAAAGACACACATAGTTACTTCATGAATAGTCTTCTAATGATACTTGACCCTCAAAACATGGATTTAGACACCTTACTGGTGTAGTTATGTGCTATATTGGCCGAGATATGCCAAAAACATGACTTTCCGGTATTAGCGGCACTAATTTGCATATTCCTATGCCACAGACACATGTGGTCACTTCCAGAATAGTTTTATTGTGATCTCTGACCTTGAAAACATGGGTTTAGACACCTAGTTCGTTCAGTTATCTGCAATATTGGCTGAGATATAATTAAAAATAGATTTTTCGGTAATGGCGGCACTAATTTGCATAAAAACAATACGTGGGACATTTTTTGAATTTTTTAACATAGCAAATCGTTTTCTACGCATTTTTTCTTACCTAGAAACGTTGATTAGAAATTGATTTCCGAGGGTGCACGATACCCCCCTTTTCCGACTAAACTAATAATCCACATTTTTATTGACCGAACCGTCTGCGTTACTTTCTAGTTTCTACCGTTGGCTTTTTTTCCACTCACTAGCGGTTTCGAGCAATTTTTTTCGCGGACAAGTTCAACCTATCTGCACTGACAGCGGGTACTGGTCTTCGGAACTCTTCGGAACACCGTTTTGTGTGCTTATCACTAAGTTTGTGGCGCTGTGTGAATTGTGAGTATGGCCTAGTGGTTAGGGTTCCGTGACTCATGATCAGAGGGTCAGGGGTTCGAATCCAGCTGCTCACGGTCATATGTTGTGTCCTTGGGCAAGCCACTTCACCTCAACTTGCCTCTCTCCACCCAGGGGTATAGGTACCGGTATTAGCTGGGGAGTAACCTGTGGTGGATACTGGCGGTTACGGCCCGATAGTCCGAAGGTTCTTTAGTCCGAGGGTTCATTAGTCCAAAGCTTCGTTAGTCCGAAGGTTCAAATGGATTATTGTCAATTGTCTGAAGGTTCGATAGTCCGAAGGTTCGATAGTCCGAAGGTTCGATAGTCCGAAGGTTCGATAGTCCGAATAGACGATAAGGTCCGATAGTCCGAATGGACGATAAGGTTCAATAGTCCGAATCGACTATAAGGTCCGATAGTCCAAATGGACGATTAGGTTCGATAGTCCGAATCGACTATAAGGTCCGATAGTCCGAATGGACGATAAGGTTCGATAGTCCGATTGGACAATAAGGTTCGATAGTCCGAATTGACAATAGGACCTTCGATTCGGACTATCGGACCTAATTATCGATTCGGACTTTCAGACTTTTTTGTCGATTCGGAATATCGGACCTTATTTTTGATTCGGAATAATGAACTTTCGGACTAGTGAACCTTATTTTTGTTTCGGACTATTGAACCTTTTGACTAATTAACCTTTTCTAAATTCGGAATACCGATCCAGGGGGAACAGAAATATTCTCAGTCGTTAACGCCGGCCTGATGGGCCACGTTTTGCTCGTGATTACTTTTGACACATGTAGCTAATTATTAGCTATTTCTCCATTGCAGGTGCCTTCGTGCTAGGTGGTCTCAACCCTGACCTCTATCGTCTTGAAGACGAAGAGGACGACCTGGACTTCCCCGACGATCACATCGGTCGCATCTGGCTGGCTGTGGAGTACGAGATGGAGTCCGAGCGATTGGTAGTCTCCCTGATCAAGGCCAAGAACCTTCCCAGTCGGGTACGGGGCAGCGTCAACCAATGCGACCCGCTAGTCAAGGTCTTCTTGCTGCCCGAAGAAAGGCGCCACCTACAGTCTAAAGTCAAGCGGAAAACCACCAATCCAAAGTTCGACGAAAGTTTTGTCTTCCAGGTATTTATTATTATTATTTTTTAATTTATGATATCACTCGTTCCAATTAAAACGTCTGACTGGACCTCTAATTGTGTCCTTTTTTTAGAACATAAACAATATTTTATTCTCACTGTACTTTATCCCATTTCCCATGCTTTTTGTTTATTCGGAAGCTCACTTTGAATTTGTTGATCAAACGACAAACGTTATGTCGTACCAAACTGAAATGGTTGGAGATTGTCGATTTCAACGGATATTAAGTTAAGTGTTACACCAAAATAAAAGAACGTTTCATGACATGTGGAGAATTGCGAATTCTTAACACTTCCTATACAAACCAACGCTTTGTTTCATTTCTTCGTGTTAAGGTTACATTCAAAGCGTTACAGCAGCGAACTCTTCGACTATCGGTGTACGACGTAGACCGTTCCAAACGCCACAAGTTGATCGGGCACGCCCTCTATCCACTGAAAGACCTTGATTGCGAGGCTCATCAAAAAGTCGTCATGTGGCTCGACCTGGAGAAGGAGTGCACAGAGGTAGGCTTGAAGCAAGTCTACGCTTTCTCCATTGATATAGGTTTCACAGCACAGTTTCACTTATGGGTCATTCCATGAAATAATGTGGGGACCAAAAGTGTGACGATTTTGTGTCCCTGTTTCACCTGACCTGTGTAATTTGCAAAGTATCATTCAAATAGATTTCAAACTATTGTTTTTATTTGTTTAGTAGGTACTTTGCTTTAGGTAATCACTCGTAGAGATAGATGGCGCTAAAGAATGTGTCCTGTTTTTACAAAATCTTATATCAGATGTAAAAGGGACTTGAAAACATTTGATGCTACATTGATGGCATGACCCTTATACGAAGCCTAGTGCCAACTCATCGTTATTATGTTGTTAAACCTCAGACGGTCTCATCTGAAACCGGGGACCTTCACTTTTCTCTGAACTACAACGACAGCATAGATCGACTGACGGTGGTTATGATCGAAGGCAAAGGCATCCGGTTGCTAGACGGGTTCCAGCACGTAGGTGAGTGGGGAGATCATGCAATAAATAGCGTCCTCGTAGCTTCATTTACCTGGGGAGTCAGGTTGGCGTAGCGGTATTTTCCTCGCCTCCCACTGCTGTGACCCGTGTTCGATTCCTCTCTGGCCCAAGATTGCGTTTTCAGTCCATTCTTGATTCCGTGGATTTTGCTCAGACTATTCATCTGGGGTTTTCCTCCCACATTTTCACATTGTCTTCTGTTTACTGTGCCCCGTGGGAGACCAGTTGATTCCACTGAATGGGCTACCCAGTTAAAACAAGAGAAAAAAAGAAAAAATCTCATGTCTATTCATATCTTAACCAAATACGTCGATTGGAAAGTTTAAATAACGCAGAAAATGATCGCGTGGCGGCCACTCTAGTGAAACGCACTGTATTTGCTGGCTACATTAAAACTGTACTACCAAATGTATTATAGCCGCTTTCTAGATAAGCTTCTTGTGATGCAATGTTCAGTTCCTTTCGGGGTGCCTTTCACGGAATATGTTATTGAGTGAGACACAAGTCTATGCATGTCAAGTCACATGTCAAGTCAAAAGTTCAGGGGATTATTCACGAAAGAAATGCATTTTAGGAATGCATTTTCTTTTACCGTCAATTTCAATACTTCGTCACCTGACTTGCAATTGGATGACTTACGATTGACTTATGAAAGTTTGTGATGACTTTTGATGACTTACGATTACTTATGATGAATTGATTGCAACTCAGGAATGTCAGGCAAACTAGTTTCGCAAGACTCATCTTTACTCCTACTGCGGCTTGGGCAACCGGATTTTGGTTTTACAAATAGACCTTCAGCTCAGCAGCCATCTTAGGGGTTTCGTGAGTTAGCCTATGTATGCATTCATAACAAATGATGCCGTCTAAGATGGCCGCTTCGAGTTATAGGTCTATGCTTAAAATGGCTTATGTTCACTTTTCGCGACCTGATTTTTCCCACAGATTGCTACGTCAAGGTGGCCTTGATGAGTGCCAGCAAAGTCGTCAAATCCAAGAAGACAGAAATCGTCAAGAAAACGTCCAACCCAACGTTCAACGAGTCCTTCCAGTTCAAGGTTCCCTCAAGTAACACGGACATGTTCAGCATATCCGTCACTGCCATGCAACACGCCCCAGCCATGAAAGGTAGGCCTGTAGTATTTTTTTTTTATTGGTGCATTTAGCCTTTGATACAAATGGACCCTGTGTGTCAACACAAGAGGGCGCTGTGTAAGATTTAAGAGGGCGCTGTGTAAGATTTAAGAGGGCACTGTGTAAGATTTAATAATCTGCGTGTTTCAACATGCCCAAGGCATGCAAATGAGCTCATATTTACAGGCCCTCAATATATTCGCCCTGACACCATTTCATCGATGAGAGGATAATTTCACGGAGAGTCCTCACCTAATCTGAAGTTTATTTAAGAATACGGGCGATTCACGGTGCACCACCAAGCGGTTTCCACAGAGAGTCCATTTTACGGTCGCCCGCGATTTTACAAATGTCAGTAGACAACTGACATTTTTGATAGATCGGGGCGTAGCATTCTGCCGCCTCACAGAAAAAACACCATCTTGATAAAAAGAAAAGCTAAAAAAACCGAAGGATACTCGAATCATATGCTTACGAACCTACTAACCGGACAAACTAACAGTTTTAAGTGTCACGCGCCATGACGAATGTGTCGACCGTCTCCCACAATGCACTGCAAAAAATGGATTCACCGTGGCAACCTCTTGGTGGCGCACTGTATTGTGAATCGCCCGTATAAGGTCTGCAACACGGAGCAACTGTATTGATCGGTTCTTCTTCCTACTTTTCTAGGTGATAAACAGATAGGAAGAGTGGTTGTAGGGCCCTTCATGTACGCAAGAGGCAAAGAACTAGAACATTGGAACGAAATGGTCAGCCATCCCAAAGATACTATAGCCCATTGGCACTCGCTTACATGATTCCAGACGTAGAGCGGGCGGGGAACCAGACTGAGCATGAATGTGTTGATCACGTGGCTTTTTTCACTTAAACTCAGTGAGGACATTTTTGGTCCCCAGCCTACATGAAAGTCTACTTGAAACCCAAAAGCCACTGTGTTTCGCTTCGAATTGGATGTGTTGTGAGAAACGTTGGGCCGTTTGGATAAGAAGAACGAGGCTTAGAGAAAGAACTTTCGGCATTGGAAAAATATCTGCTTGGTTTTGGTACTGATCATTGCATAGGCGACACAGGAGCGGAGTTGAGACTTCGTTTGAAATAACTCGGGCTTTCAACTGAACCGGAAGACTCGGTGAATTTTACAATCAACCACTCGGATCCGATCGGGATATCTCTTCAACGCAAATGACCTATTCAGACAGTAGGAAAATTGTGACTAATGTCTGCCCCTTTCCAACGACTGCGTCAAATACTACTAGGAAAGCGGACAGGCGAGAGAGGGCGGTCGACATCTTAAAGGGAAAGGATTATTTTCGAAGTTGGAACGGCAAGTCGTCAAGCTTGACTGGAAATAGGTGATAGAATTGGTTCAATGGTTCGTCATTGATAGGCTGTTCAGCAAGTGGATACAGGCCTATGGAATTAAATTTAATGTCCAAATTTGAATTGAAGAAAGTCTCTCGTTCCCACGGCACCCAGAAAACCCAGGCGCTGGTACAGTCTGAATAAGCCGGTTGCTGTGATTACTCGAGTCCATTTTTTACTGGTAAAAATGTTGTTCTGACGGCTGCAGAATCGTGCCAGGTTAAATTGTTTTGTTTTTTTCGTGTTTAATTTTCATTATCATTTAAAACCTGTGATGTCAGCAAAGTAGGTACCAGCGGTCGAGTACGGGTGGGGTGGGTGCGAGTGAGACAAAAAATGCATTTCCATCGCGAGAGGGCGCCATGATGTATTTTGTGATTTTCGTGTAGTTCACGGACATACATCAGACGTGTCTAGTGTCTTTCAATAAGTGCGATTTATATTGAAAGGTTTACTGGAATTTTATGCATGACTGGGTTTAAAGTATTCCGTATACTTGGGCCTACGATACTTTTTAACAATGGTATACGTTGTGTGTATGCAAACCATTGATAAACGCATTCTCTGAAATTACCAGAATCACTGTAATAGCGCCACCTTGAGGCGACTTGAGCATTAGACTGACCATGACTGTTGACCTTTGACTCTGTTGGGAAGAAGACAGCCTGCATTTGGCAATGGTCACTCACTTACGTGGATTACCATGCAAAAGTGTGCTATATTAAGTAAAGACGTGCGAGTCTTTGATATGGCGATTCTGAGCAAGGGGTTTATAGTTGAGACATTTTGTTGTTACAATTTAAAGTGATGCAGTGTACGTTGACAGCTGTCAGTCTGGAATTTGCTACATATAGATGGGTTGCATTAAGCGGCCATCTTTGAGGTGTGTTTTGTTATGTTAATTCATAAGCAATGCACAACGAGGTCTACGCATGCGTATCCCTTCTAAACAGAAGCACACACCTCAGAGATGGCCGCAGTGCAAACGATCAATACCTTTTTTTTCATAGTACTTTTGTGAACCTTCACCCAATCTCGTTTTAATGAAGCCCTGTACGTCTCTATGGTCTATGTCTGTGCGTGGACGCGTTGAACATTCACAATGTCTATTCTCTCCGGCTTGGTGCGTTGTAGCTCTTTGCTATTCCAGCTCCCGTAAAACACCGTGTTGTTGGAATGTAAATAAGTATTTCATTATCACTGCAATGCAGCTAAACCAGCTTGTCTCTTTAAAAAAAAATCGTTTGGAAATGAGTTGCATATAAACAGTTCATTATTTGTATATTGTGTTTCCAGTAAAATCCATGTAGAAATGTTTTGCTCTTTCAGTAAGAAAATAATGCCCTCAAAAGTAGATACCCTACTGTGCTCCTTTGTTAGTTTCTTTGCTTCGGTTCAACGACATTGTTCAATTGTGCGTAAATTTAAAAACAAAAATTGCATTGCCCAAACCAGGCATCCTGACATACGATATGTCTTCCTTCGCACATTAGGGAAATTGATTTTACCTTTTGCGCTTCAGGTAGCTCTTTTAATATGAAAGCCCTTTGCGATTTTCTTAAGTAGACACTTTCAGCATCACATTTCACAAATGGCGTATGGGTGTTTGGAGACCAGACACAATCGATTCGTCTTGGGTTAATGTCTTCTCTAGTAATTGTCAAGTTCTGCCCGGCGGTGTCGTCTCTGAATGGCACACTGTGTGTGTGTCCTCGGGTAAACGGTATTGAAAAAGTGATGGCGATTAAACCTTTTTTGTTTGCTCAATTAACATCGAGAGAACTGTCAGTACTAAATATAATGTCAAATTGAAAAATTGTCACAAACTGTTCGTGTACGGATGAAGATCCCAAAAAGAAAGATTTCGAACGAAAATACGGATCGACGAAAACATTTGTCACACCGTCCTCCGACCTTTGAAACCTTGACGATAGCCCAAGAGGAACCTTAAGACATTAAGAAGATGACGAAGATGAGACTGTGTCATTTTAATGTGGATTCATCTGGATGACGTGTGTACTATAGATAATTCTACGTAGAAAAACTGTCTTCAAAAAAGTTATATAAATACGATGTAGTGGATGATAGTTTAAACATTGACATAAATCTTACGTGCTTATTAGGAGGCTCTTGGGTTACTTGCCGGACAGCATTTGCCAAATAAATTTAAAAGGGTGAAAATTCGTATCAAGGATGAAAAATCTTCTTCCTGATAATGGTGTCACTTCTTGTACAGTGCTTGGAACACCTTCCAAGATTAAAAAAAAAAAACTAACCGGCCCTCACACCGGATGGTTAGAACTAATCGTGCGCTACAATCTATTTTTATTATCTGCGGTTCGTAATTTCTACATTAATTTTGTATTTATTTCATATCTTCGGACAACGATTTAAAGTTTGTAATATGGATTTATGAGAACGGTCCAGTCTGTGATTAATTTAGTCATTATTGTTTTGAATATTGTTTTTGTCTTCTTCCTCTTTCAGCCTGAGTGATACATCTGTCGCTAGATCGACTTGTTTATTTTATTGTTTGATCGTGGGATGTATAATTGTAAATAGCAAAATACAATATTTTAAGTAGGTCAGAAAGTGGATTGTGACCTTGTATACGTGTATATAAAAGTGCAGTTGTACAGAGCATTCCAACAAAAAAATCCAAGTACTTACATTCCAAATTTATTCTCCTTAGTCATATGACGTTTGTGTATAACCTGCCAATGTGATAAAAATACAACATGTCGACTTTAAGAATCTTTCTCAGAGAAAAGACGAAAAGACAAGTCTTGAGTGTTACCAGAGCCGTGTGGAGGTTGCGGCAGCTGGTCGTTCAGGACACGCGATGTTTGGTGTTCCAAACCGATATTTGGCGTCCCAAACCGGCGCCTCTCATGCTCTGCGCACGGCCGCGGTGTAACCATTATGATTGGACAAGAAACATGATTGATTTTCTTTGTGAAGAAAAAAACACGCGATTATTTAAACAGATTCCAAAGCCATGAAAAATGTATCTCTGTACAAAACTTAATGTGAAGGTCTCTTGACAAAGATGACACAGGTTACAAAAAAAAATAAGTGGGTTTGAGGCGTGGTCCCATCGGGTTTTCATAAGCAACACTAGTGCCAAAGATTATTGTTGGGAATGTCTTTGCACGTTTGATTTCAGATCGACAAAATGACGGTCATTTGTTTGTTGAAATTGCAGTTTGACAATAATTTGTTTACAAAACGTTCATTACACTCAGAACAAGTGATGGACGTGTGTCAATTAAGTATCGATGAATAGGGCGCGTTTTCGTTAGGGCGGTCAACTGGACAACTACAGACGCCATTAATCGTCAACACCGTCAGTGACACGGAGGTGCCTGATTGGCCCTTCGTCATACTTGTTCAGTGAGCCGAGCCAATCAGAGCGCAGCTATTAAAAAGCTGGTCTACTGACGACCGTCTTTTGTAAGAGTCTTTGTGATTAGCCACAGACAAAAATGTCTAAATGAGTGTACACAATTATTCTATAACGCTGGTTCGTGTAAAATCCAAAGTAGAACTGAATGCTGTATACTAGTGCGTGTATACGTGTGAGTCCGAACTCGTCATTCCAAGTTAATTTTTTTACAACAAAAGTAAAAATATAAATATTAAGATGTAATAAGCTTTGTCTGATAATTCTGTATGTATATGTATGTATATACAAAGTGTATTAATGGATATTCATATTACTTATAACGACCATATACATTATCATAACGAAGTGAGCTGGATATTTCTCTGCAAGATGGAATAATGTCGAAATATATATTAAAAACTATACATATGAATATTATATCTGAAATGATGTCATCGCGGACTCAATAAGTGTTTGCGTTTATACTGTGCATGCATGCTGCCCTTTCCCGCCATTACTGTCTGTGCCCTCTGTCAAAATTATTTACAATACTCACAACTCTCCAAGGTATTTGAGACACACATCAAATAAAAGCTCATTTCATCATCTTTCATTTTCCGTTAATTTTTTTTTTTTTGGGGGGGGGTATCCAAGATTTTTGGAAGAAAATTCCAGCCAAAGATGATCACCCCTAAAAGCAGGCCTGTGAGCCCATCGCCATTTTAAAAATGGACACCTACGCTCCATTGCAAAATAGAGCCATTTTGGGGCCTAATTTATGAACCAAATTTCACAGAAATACGAGCTTGCAACAGTCTTCTGCACGGCTTCCACCCTTCTTGTTTGTTTCTACCAATCCTCAATTGTTCACAGCTCTCAAAATGCTCTAATATCGGAGAATTTGAGGGCATGCAGATCGTGATTTGGCCGGCGTAGGCAATTTCGGGTCTACTTACTGGTCTGCACCCATGAACAACCGCTTACGCAAAACCCCGTTCCAAAGGTCTAATTAATTGTCGTCCTCGCTCTCGTAGTAAACCCTGGGTCGGTAATTTGCTTCGATAACAAGTGACGGATTTTTGTTATCGCGCTGTAGACGTTGAACTTTAGTTGTGAATGGCGAAATTCTGTATACCAAATTATAATAGACAAATTTCAAGAATGGAAACCGATGCTGTCAGTGCTGAGCCATTGTATGAATTGAGGACCTTTTCTTTATTTCAATCCTCTCAACAAACGACAGCACCGAGACCCTCGGCTTCACTGCCAATTTGAAACTTGTCAATAGCCAAGTTAGATGTTTTAACAAACACCGAAGCGGGACTCGAACCTGCAACCAGCTGAACCTGAGGCAGAGGGCGCTATTTTCAAGTCAATTCTGACCTATGGAAGTCCAATATCACGATGCATCATTGGACGTGCGAAGCAGGGTCGAAAAAAGAGAAATCTAATTGAGAATTTTTTTTTCAATTTCCGGATTGCAGATTTTCTGGCGCTCTTTGGGGAATCCAAAAGGGGCTTTAAATGCTCTTCATATTTTGCCCACTAACCACACAGAAAACGTTCCATAAATTAGCTGAATTAGGTTATGAACATGACGTCTTGGGGGCATAGTTAAATTTTCCCAATCAGTAAGTGATTTGGTTTCATCTTTTGGCAACACTGTACTTTGTCGGTGCCACATTTCAAAAATCCCAGAATAAGTTGTCTTGAAAATATGTCTTTTGTACATTGTAGCGTATTTCCTTACGCAGTTATAAAAAAAAATCCTTTTTACTTTTTGACGAAATGTGATTCTCATTTCAATCGTAAGGTAGGCCTATGTTTCACTGGTTTTGTTTAACCAAGATTTAAACGTGTTTTCCTCAAGTTCGTACTCATTAAGTTGGTCTCGCAGTGAAATGCCTTCATAACATCTGTTATTTTTGACGGGCCATGGAAATTGATACGACGGTCAACAACAGTACACGACCGAGTCATTCAAGCTCTTACAAAAGTGAAGAGAAAATTCTGTAATGAGATGGAATTTAAATTTTCCCCGCAACCTATACATTCCTGCTTATTGAGTGACGTTTCTGAGTACAGATGACAAAGCTACTTTGAAAACCCCATTTGTCCTGCCCCAAACATGCTTCAACCAAAGCAGAGTGATATAATGTCTTCCTTCTAATCCACTCTCAGTCAAAAGAGAGACTTTGGAGGTTTTCAAAAGTGATGTACTTCTCAAAGGCAACACCGCTCCAGGCACTGGGCATCATTTTCCTCCAGCTCCAATTCTGAAACCATCTTGGGGTTGAGGATAATCGCTCTTTTGGGAAGACTAAGAGCCCTGGCCTTTTCAGGGTTGCCCAAGCGGAAACCAGCACTCACAGTCCGTCCAAACTCGCCAGCTCGTGGCGGCCGGAACCCCAAACGCAAAGGGCGTCTATGCGATACCCCTCACAAATTTGCGGTCAGCTTTGATGCGCCGCCGCATTGGCACGTCTCGCCCACGCTGATTGGCTGGGCGGAGAGAGTCTGACCCTGTCAAGGCGAATCACATCACTTGTCACTGATGGGCATTGTTCTCCTCCACCCTCCCTAAGTGACTCTCTGAACGGGGCAAAACTCTCGGGTCACTTTCCTTCAAGACTTCACTGCCGCGTCATCTCGAAATTTTCACCTCCAGTCATTAAACCCGTTTTCGATACTCAGGGCTACCATTTTGAAGTTTGGGCTTGAGAATTTCGTCAAGTTGTTTTACATTCTTGAATCGTCATGTTGGTTCAGTGTATGATCCTTCATTCTCTGATGATGGTCGCTGGAGGACAGCTGCTCGCCAGAGGATGGTAAGTCCATAACCCTTTTCCCCGGAATGTTTTCATGTGTGAAGTTTTAATTTCCCTTTGATACTCTACGACAGTTGGTTTTTTGGTTAATTATACATGGTAACAATTGACCAAATTCATTTGAATTAAGAAACAGAAACATTCAGATGATGTTGCCTTTAGCTTTTTTTTTGCAAAAACCAACCATGTACAAATTCGACTTGACTAACTTTGGTCCTCTTCCGGAAGGTATATTGTTTTAGGAAAACCTGTTTTTTTTTGTTTTTCGCAAACCCTTGCCTATTCAATAAAAAAGAATACTTTTTTTCCAGTCAGATGTCGTCTAGTTACAAAAACAAAATCCGATTGCGCATAACTGGGTACCCGATTGGAAGAAAAAAACGGTTCCAATATCCCAAAATTCAAAACAGTGTGTACAGTGAGCTTATAGCTTTACGGTGTCAACTGTAATTTTAAAACTGAAGCATCTTAAATCTAACATATGTTTTGTTTTCCCTTGTAGTCTGATTTTCATTTTGATACATCTGTAGCTTGTACTTCTTAATCATTACGTTTCCTGTTTTTTCCTTTTCTCATTTTTCCAGGGCGCCGGCAAGTAATCTTCTTCTGTCCGGTTCAAAGGTAAGTCAAAAAGTTTTATCACATTCTAAGAATCTTTGGCAATTTTTGTTGCCCACCCGCGTCTTCCGTCCTGAGTGACATGCACTTTAATCTCAATCCGTCCCTCAACTATGTTTGCGGTTATGATATTCTTCATCTCCGCGATGATGACACCTACTTGAGTGGTTTTATCCTTCCCTTATGCCAGCATGCTATCCCTTTTCGCCCTGGAGCCATGAATTTAAGGACAACCCTGACAGGATGAGACATGATGCCCAAGGATATTTTCTGTTTGTTCCCTAATGCGACCTGTGTCTTCCCCTCCTTTAGTGCATATCTGGGCGTTCTTTGACCCTCCATCAGACCCTCAATCTCTATTGTTGATGCCCTCAAAGACACTCTTGCAGTCTCTGCTTTATATGAGTTACTGGGTCAGTCCTTGGGATGACTATATGTATAGTCATCCATGAGTAATGTTCTCTAGCCTTCCCGTCAACGGGCAAGCATCTCTACTCCATCAACCTACAAAAAAAGACCATCCTCAGGATTACAGAACTCTTACCCCTCCTTCCCAGCATGTTGCCGTATCGTTTCAACAACTGTATTGTAACATGTTAGTGAGAGCTTTTGACAAAGTTTGGACGCGCTTTTGATAGAGTTTGGACCCGGGTCGCTTACCCGTCATTGTTCGTCCCAGCGAGGGGTTCGCTCAACTTAATTGGCCCGTATGTAAATCTTGTTTTAGCCGGGCTTCCAATCGAAAGGCATCAAAGGCCGCTGCCGCCCACTCGTCATCTATTCATCAGCTCCTCAGTAATAAGTTCTGGTCATGATCTCATTAGTTGCAAATTAGCAACCCAACTTGCCCCGGACACGGGTGAATAGCCGAGACTGCCACCCATTGTCTGACCGGAATTACCCGGTGAATGGGGTCGTGGATTAGTGTAATGGTCCAGGACGTGTTTTGGGCTGCCGCGGTAGCTCAAAGGGTAGCGTAGGGATTGGGTTTTGCCATTGTGGGGTGAGTCATGTGAGCCTTACTTGTTGCCTCGTGTCGCCTAAGACTTGCTGGCATGTTTTAATAATGGCTATCTCGATTCATGAAGTACATTATTGATCTTTTGAAACATATGAAGACAACTTAAGAAAATTGGCATCAATCACTCTTGAACTGATTGGAATTCCCCAGAGCACGTCCTAAATGGTTAGGTTGTTCATAGTCCAAACAATTTTGTATTAAATTTCCTCATAAAATTCTGGTTTCTTTCTTTCCATCTGCAGGGTCTCCAGAGGTACATCTCGTACTCCGACAGCGTGAGTGCCGGAGCGGCCACCGCCATGAAGGAGTGCCGGCACAGGTTCCAGTGGGACCGCTGGAACTGCCCGGAAGGATCGCTTGCCCTCTTCAACGAACCCCTTCGTAAGTCCCTCTCCCACTTTGTTCCTTGTCTCATTACATATAAATGTACATTGCACGTCATATTACATCATGTTGTAGTGACGTCAGAACCATGACGTCATTGCTGCATTGAACACGAATCTAATTTCTCCTCGTTCATCATTTACGCAGCGTTAGTCATCATCAGGCTGTATGAATACATGTACATTATTCGATTACCGAGTAATGATTTCCTTCTTTTCCTTTGTTTCCACAGCTACCCGTGAGATGTCCTTCGTTCACGCCATCAGCTCTGCCGGTGTCATGTACTCACTGACCAAGAACTGCTCCGTGGGACAATTCGAGAACTGCGGCTGCGACGAGTCTAAGAGAGGAGGCAAAACAGGTAAGACTTCATTGGCTTTGTTGAATAAAATGGTGCGGACATGTACAATGTACATGTACTTTGTTCGAAAAGTATGCCTCTCTCGGACAAAATACAGTGAGTTATTTGCAAGTTTCAGTTTACGCATGCACCCTCTGCCTTTCAGTAGCGGACCCACCACCCCCAGTTCAGCCGCTAACTATGAAACTAGTAAAATGTGGCACAAAATAATGAGTGGAATTCTAAAAATCCTAAATGTAAGCTTGAATTTCCTTAGCATGCAGGAGAAATCATCGTAGGTTTCAAACATTGTCCGGGGACCCCCCCCCCCCCCCAGCCGGGCGTGTCTCCCGCACGCCTTAGACTCAATCTCACCTCCCGTTACCTGAAAGAAAGATCCGCCCTTGCCTTTTCAAACTTTTCAGACATAAGTATGTAGCGCATAAAGCAAAATCCTTTGGCAGAACCTAATTTTCCAGCATTGTTTGGGTTTCATTCTGGCTTTTTATCAGTTATTTTTTTCTGAAATAATTTATTTGACGACAATTTTTATCATATCGTTAAACGAGATTGATGAAAAAAACCTTAATTTTGGTTCGTGTCATGTTCTTATTGCGTATCTCGCAAAAAAAAAAAAAAATCGTGTTTCTTGACGTAGTTCGGCAGTATTGGGTGTTGTGTCTCTTGTGCTTTTTTATATTTGAGCTAACTTGTGTTCCTTGGGAAATGTCTCATAACAGACAACGATTTGACTTTTTATTTTATTTTTTCTCCTTCAGGAGGCGAGGACTGGAAGTGGGGCGGCTGCAGCGACAACATCAAATTCGGCGAGAAGATTGCCAAGGTCTTTGTGGATGGGATGGAGCAGGGGCAAGACGCGCTGGCACTGATGAATCTTCACAACAACGACATCGGTAGAAAGGTAAGTCCTGAAATGAATGTGCAAAACTGAACTTTGAGAGATTTGTGAAGACGATTGGAGATTTTGTCGTGCACCTCTTTATGTTGTCGTGCATGCTTAAATTGATATTTTACGCATACTTGGAAGTTGTTACAAACTTTCAAAATTTCGATGTTCGTTTCTGAACGAAATTTAATGAAATATAATGTCCTGTGACAAATACATTTGCTTGTTTGTTTTTGCAGGCCTTGATACAGTTTTAAAAATTGGTTTAAATGGTGCGCCTCTTTTCAGACATTGCACGCACTATTCAGAACGAATTAGGAGCGTCCCGCTCTTAATTCAAAAGTTGAAATTAATTATTTGTTTACTTGTCGTGGGCCAATGTTTGTCATGCGATGTCTCATTGGAAAGCTCATAACTACTGTAATGTAAGAAAATTATCAATTCAATTTGAAAATGTACTCTTCAAGATGCCAAACCCAAAACTCATGTAGGCTATACACAACTGTAAAGCATGAGCTTTTCATAATCACGGCATTGAGGAATTAAGGTTTGTTATTGGTTGATGATTGGTATTGGTAAACATGTCTTAGTGTTTTTTCTTGTACTTTGCTTTCATGACAGGCCGTTCGCCAGACCCTGACTCGTCGTTGCAAGTGTCACGGAGTTTCTGGTAGCTGCTCCATCCAGACCTGCTGGGATCAACTCGGCGCCTTCGGCATCATCGGTGAGGCTCTCAGGAAGCGCTACGAAACGGCTGTGTTGGTAGACTACGTCAGCGGCGGCCTGCATCCCAACGAGAAGAAGGCACAGGAGGACCGGGCAGAAACCCAGAACGACCTAGTCTTCCTCCAGCCGTCCCCAAACTACTGCCACGTCAACTCCACCGTGGGGACCGCGGGCACGCTGGGACGGGAGTGCCTCAGAGGCCGTGGCACTGAGGTGACCGCGTGGGAAGCACGGAGCTGTAAGCGGCTCTGCTCCTCCTGCGGACTCGCCGTCCAACGCAGCAAGGTGGTGGTGTCTTCTAGCTGCAACTGCAAGTTCCACTGGTGTTGTGAGGTGCGATGCGAAACCTGCACGCGAGAGGTCACCAAGCTGACTTGTGCACGGAAAAGCGAGTCCAGAACCAGACTATAACAGCTCCGAACTCTATACCATAACTTAAACTAGAACTGCTTGCTAACTTGTGGCTACCTGAACCTGCAGCATCGGATACTTTGTGGTTATCTAGTTAACTCCTATTCGATACTCTAAGTTTTAGAATTGCGCTATTATCATCTTATTAACTAAATCTTGATTGTAGCTAATCCTTAGAATCGGCCGTCGTGTTTTCGAATGCAACATGCTTAATTTATTTTAGATCTGATTCAGTTATTGCCTTCACTGTTAAATGTACAGCTAAGTTTAAAAAGAAATTGTAAATATGTAAATCTTGAAAATTAATTATTTTTTTGTCTATCATAGCGACAACTCTATTGAGCTCAAAGTCTAGGATTTGAGGGTATTTTGCGGATTGAGTATTTTGAATGAAATAATTTTCTTGACACTTGCAGAATTTGAAGATCAGATTGAACATAACAGTTTGAAACGTAACTGAAACGACTACATGTACATGTACACGCATGTTTTTATGATTTTCTTCTAACCACACTTACTATGTTGTTATGTATATTTTGTAGGGTGTGTTTAAATTTCCGCTGAAATAAGTTCGAATAAAAAGGCTTAATAGTTAAAAAAAAATGCAGTTTGAAGATTCATTTATTTATTCGATTAAATTTATTACAGGTATTTCAATTTTAATAATCGGAATATTAAGTTGTTTGTAAATATTGCCTAAGAAAAGAAACATGTTCAGCTAAATATGCTTTTGCGAATTGCCAAAAGTTTGGATTGCATTTTTTTGGAAATACAAGTAAACGCTTTATTTTTCGGTGATGTTTTTTTTTTAGTGTGTCGGTTTTTCATAGAATGAAATTTTCATTAAAAAAAAGGTCACTGAACAACATTTCGATTTCAAACATCTGGTAACTTTTAGTTGACAAACATTTGTGGGTAAAGTGCCCTTGCAAAATAGCGAATCAAACGAACTTCCAAGACAGTAAAACACGTACACTGTATTTCTCATTCGCGAGAGGGATGTGTTGCTTTCATTTCATAAAAGTTGACTGTCACTCTGAACGGATTGTATTTCGCGTTTAAAACTTTCACTACATAATATTGTACATTGTGTTGGTGTTCAGACTGTTACACATGAACTTACGCTCGGGACGAAATATCAGTTAAAGACATGATGCTTCTTGAATTATTACCCCACAATGGGTGTGTTGTTTTTGTTCAGTAGTGAGACATCCGTGTTCTTTATCCTTTTTCAGGTTTTATTATGTCTATGGTCGGAGCGCGGTGAGCAGTGTTTGTGTAGCGCGCCCTCTTTTGTGAGAAATTGCCGCACGACGATAAAATTCGGAGTTGTCCTTCGTACTGCAATTTCCTTAAATTTTATTACATTCATTCTTCGGCGGTTCCTGTCACTTTTCCAGAGTTTCGTGTCAAATACCATGGCAAAATATTACAGGAAATGGCATTGCAATACTATGTGTTTATCTTGAGTTCCCGTTTTCACAATAATTGCGTTTACAACTCGAATGGCCAGGTGTCGGAGTGTGGTGGGCATGTGTTTGTGTAGCGCGCCCGCTTTTTGAAAAAAATATTGTTCCATGACGAGAAAATACGGAGTGTCCTTACAGTGTATTAAAATTCCCATAGACACTAGTGCTAAATGCCCATACTTCTAAATTCTTTTAAATATACTCAGAACTCTCACATGTTTTTAAGCTACAGAGAGAAATGGCGATCGATATGTCATCTTTTATTTTATTTTCAATTTTTGACCATAAATTCTCACCCAAAGAAGACGACCCCTATTTTCCCAAAGCGGATAGGTAGCCTTGGGTATTTATTTTTAGGCCACTTGAATAAAGGTTTCGTGGGTGTATAATGATATGTTGCATAATAATACACAAATTCATAGGTTGATAAAAATGATCCCTACACTCCTTTGCAAATATAAAGCCACTGAAGTGGTCTCGATCTCCACCACCAAACTCGATTTGGGGCCAAAAACTCAAGAAATACACGTTACATTACAATGTATTTTTGTACACTCATTTGTCATGATATTTCACATCAAAAGATTTAATTTCATAGAAAAACGTTAAATAATCAAGCTATTATGACTGTAACAATACAGGGTTTTAATTGTGACAAATACGATCCTAATGGAAGTCAACGTGGATTTTTAGCGTTTAAAACACTAGATTGTTACGATCATATTATATTTATAGCTCCACAGTTTCTCACGCCATTGAAACTACTTATGCTACACATCGTGAAAACTAATTGCACGAAATTTCAATTTAATCCATTTTGTATTTCTAGAGTAGTTCATCGGAAACGAGTTTGTTCTTTTTGTTCAATTGTGCAGCATCCGTGTTGATGCGTTGTTGAGACCACTATTTATGTGGCGCGCCCTCTTTTGAACGAAACTTAAAATATTCTACGGCGTGCTGATGTATCAGTGGTTGTGTAGGGCGCCCTCATAAAGGAAAAATCATAGACGGTAGCAAAATGTGCGGAGCGTCCTGGCAAATGCACTGTTGGCCGTTGGTTAGTGTCGTTGTGTGTATTTTTTTTCCACGGTTCCAGTCGATTCCACTTTTTCTGTCATTACATCACGACTTATTATCGAACGAAGTTTCGTTTCAGGACAATTTTTTTTTCTGGAGCTACTGTCTTCAAAAGAGTGCTTCATTTTTTTAAAATTAAAATAGACTCCGAATCGGAATGGATTTTTCGTAATCCTCAGCCCTTTTTTTCTTAATCATATTTAATGTATTCTCCCACAGTTCACGCCAATTTTCAAACGGGTTGTGTCAAATTATATGGTCAATAACCGTTCGCAATTTGAAACCAATGCAATATGTTGTTCTTTAAGTTATCGTCTCAATAGAGAGTGTCAAAAGAGACTAAAATTAATTGGAGCATTGAATTGAATTTTGGACAGATGATTGGTCACGAAAAGACGACAAAATAGAAAGAAGATTTAAACGAAATATTGTTTTTCTCTTCCTAAACAGTGTCTTGTGTCGCAACACGTAGCAAAACTTGGCGATGGGCTGCAGTGGCAGTCTAAACAGAACACTTGCCTCACTTTTTTGCACAGGAACGATAATCCACGAACGATCGTTCCTGTGCAAAAGTGAGGCAAATGTTCTGTTTGGACTTCCACCGCAGCCCATCGCCAAGTGTTGCTACGTGTCGCGACACAAGACACTGTTAAGGAAGAGAAAAACAATATTTCGTTTAAATCTTCTGTCTATTTTGTCTTCTTTTCGTGACCAATCATCTGGCCAAAATTCAATTCAATGCTCCAATTAATTTTTTGCGATAGCATGTCGTCGTGGACTATTTTAAATTGTATTAAATATATTCTTCCTTGGTTCACGTTAATTTTCAAACAGGTTGTGTCACATTTTATGGTCAATAATCGGACGCAATTTCAAACCAATGAATAATGTTGTTCTTGAGTTATCGTCCCCACAAAGAGTGGCAAAAGAGACTAAAATTCGGCATTAGCCTTTCGTGATTAAAACGCTTAGGCCTATTTTCTTTAAATCGTATTAATTGCATTCTACCTCGTTTCACGTCAATTTTCAAACGGGTTGTGCAGTGGCGTAGCCAGGAATTTTTCAGTGGGGGGGGGGCGCTGGGGGGGGGGGCTGGAACATTTCATGGGGGGCGTCAAGCAGGGGCGTCAATCGCTTCTCAAAAGTGTGGGGGGGGGGGGACATACCTTGATCATAACTGATGCAAGCGCGAAGCGCGCAGCCCTTACGGCGTGGGGTTCGGGGCCCGCTTAAGGGCCCCGAAAAAAATTGGCTTTTCGATGCTCTGTGGTGTGATCTGAGGCAATTTCTTACCACTTTAACCAATAATTATCTTAGCACAAAAGATAACAGTTTAAACATAATTTTCAAGGTTTTCTCAGCTAAAGGCATAAGACATTTTTGTGAACATTGTTTTCGAGGTTGGAGTCATTGAGTCAGCTACCAGAATTCTGAGCTAAATGCTCTGTGGTGTATCTGAGGCAATTTCTGACCACTTTAACCAATATTTTCTAAGCAAACATACATTGTAGTACATAATAGGGCCCATGGCGTCATGTAGATCAATGATAATTTTTTTTAGAAACTAAAAATCTCAGTGGGGGGGGGGGGGGGGGGGGCGACTGGGGGCAACAAGGTTTCATGGGGGGGGGGCGGTCGCCCCCCCCCCCCCCGTGGCTACGCCACCGGGGTTGTGTCAAATAATATGGTTAATAATCGTTCGCAATTTCAATGCAATATGTTGTTCTTGAGTTATCGTCTCCACAAAGAGTGTTGCATTTTTGTTTAATGGGCAGATTGTGGTCCGCATATTGTCTTTACGGTGCTGACCATGTGCGAGACCTCTAGTTTTATTCAGCGCGCCCTTTCTCGAAAGAAATGTTTAGTTGTTTGACTGTTTCTCACGAAATTTACTCGCCTAATGTAAGACATCAAGACCGATACAACTTAATATAGCTTGGCCTGGTGAGCTCGGGTTATTAATGCGCAAACAACGTCTGTATTATTATTTTCATGGACGTTGACTTTTCATTTTTCATTTGGTTTGCAGTTTCACGTTTAAAAACTAAATTTGTTTCGGGTATTCTCTCTTTTTTTTTTATTGTTTGATGGTTTCTCATTAAATTAAGTCTCATAATGTAACAGGCATGACAAATTACTAGATGAATATTCAATTTAGAACACCGAAAACCTGTTTTGAGGGCAACAACTCAAGAAATACTAGATTAAATTGATTAAAATTTCAAACGCCTTGGCGATCAAGAGTTCAGTTGTGAGCATTAAAAAACTGGAAGTTTGTGTTATTATCACTCTATGGGAGTCGATTGAAAGGTCTGAAACCATCGGAATTGAAAATGGCGGCGCCCTGTACTGAAGGCGTTCTTTTTATGTCGCGACAGTTTTATTTTTTTTTTTCAGGGGTCGGGATATATGGGCGATATTTTTTTTTTTGTACACAACAGTCTTAGGTATTTATTTTTAGGCCACTTGAATAGAGTTTTATTCACTCATGTACACCCTCTCTAGGCCTATAATTATATACTGCATAATTTTTGTTGAACCACATTTTCAAAGGTTCCGTCAACACGAGTAGGGCGCCCTCAATAGTATATTTCTTACTTGCAAGTTGCGCTAACGATTACCGATCATGCTGTGTCCTGCAGAATCACTCTACCTGCCCCGTGCGCCACTGATAATCGTGAGTACACCCACTTATTCTTTAGCCTATATAGCATAGGATGGTAAAGTGATTTTATATCTAGAACTCTGAACTGGAGGAATTTTTGGGTACGAAACTTTTGCCGTATTATTCATGTTATTCGGGGATTTATGAGGGAGTTTCACATTTCGCGATCATCTTGAAAACAGCGCCACCGTGTGACTAAATAAAGCCAGTGGAGGGGAACAAATTGGTAGCGTCAGTATCACACTGGGAGGAAGGTACACTTATCATAATTTATGCTTACGTCACATTTCGCCACGGAGGTCATTTAGCATCACTGGAAACATGAATTATGCAGTACGTATGCACATGGATGTCCCGGATGATGGTAGTAGATGCATACCATAATGCATACC